GGTGTTTTGTGAAACTGTGATTGTATAAGGCCAACTAACAACCGAGTTAGGAAACGAGTTACAATAGAGTACTAAAGTGTGACGTCATAAAAATGAAATTTCCGAAATTATGGGATTTGTCAGGATATTGTGAAAGAACAATGTCCAAGAGGCCTACTTGCCAAAAATGAGCATTTGGGGGCAAATTGTTGCTGAGATCGTAGCCCAGTTATGCTTACAAAACTCCATACAAACCCTTCTAAATTTTTTTTGGGTCGACCCAAAAAAAAATTAGAAGGGTTTGTATGGAGATTTGTGAGTATAACTGGGCTACGATCTCGGAGACAATTTGCCCCCAAATGCTCATTTTTGGCAAGTAGGCCTCTTGGACATTGTTCTTTCAGAATATCTTGACAAATCCCATAATTTCAGAAATTTCATTTTTATGACGTCATCACTTTAGTACTCTATTGGGAAAGTCGGTGGGAACCGAGTTGGTAAGCGAGTTAAAAAAACTATGGCGATTTGGTTATTGATTTGAGACAAGTTTTTGCCTTTTTTTTCCCTTTTTGTTGAAAAATTGTCTTTGTTGAGAAATCGTCTTTGTATTAGCCTAGCATCAGTTCCGATCAGCACTTTACTTCAAAACTAGGGGTTTCGCCTGGTTAGAAATAGAATTCCCAGTTTGAAGTTGAACCAAGAATTTTGAAGTCAGTCAGGTTACAGCCGGGATGACCACACATTGCTCAACAACAAGTTCTCCTAATAACTTAGTCGATCGAACAACAGGGTGGCGAAGGGGTTTTCCGTTTGATGGGCGTGATGTTGTTTTGCGTTAGTTGATTATATTTTGCCGCGAGTGAATTTTATTTTGCTAGATTATTCGCTCTTGGTTTTATAGTAAACGCTGTGGCTATATGGCCAGTAACCGGTCAAGGTTTTCAAAACACTAAATGAACGGCAGTCCTATATTCTCAATAAATTTGACAAATCGAAAAAAATCCATCTAATCTAAAGTATCATATGTCGATTAAGAAAAGTCAAGCGATCCTGAAACACTTTATAGATCTCAAGTTTATCGTTTGGTTTACGCTGTGCTCAGAAAACGATACCATGTTTCGTGACACCCTAGAACCTTTTTCAGCTTCCTCTTTCCTCTTTCCTCTTTCCTCTTTCCTCTTTCCGCTTTCCTCTTTCCTCTATCCCCTTTCCTGACTTTTCTAGGAAAGATCGAAGGGACTCTGCTAGCAGGACTCTAGCAGGGTAGACTGCCGGTCATTTAGTGTTTTGACAATCTTGACCGGCAGTTGACCTGAAAAAAGTTTAAGTGTCACAAAACATGGTTTCGTTTTCTGATCTTTTCTTAGCCCAGCGTAAACCAAACGCAAGACTTGAGATCTATAAAGTATTTCAGGATCGCTTGACTTTTCTTAATCGACATATGATAGTTTGGATAGGTTGGGATTCTTAGATAAGTCAAATTTATTGAAAATACCGGACTGCCGGTCATTTAGTGTTTTGAAAACCTTGACCGGTTACCGGTCATATTTTACCGTAAGTTAATTTTATTTTGCTGCGAGTTGCTTGTATTTTGCCGTGAGTTATAAAATTTAACTTGAATTGACATTGTTTTCTTTCATTTTGCAGCTCCATTTTTTTTGGTTGTCGGTTGAAATTTTCTTTGCCGTGACTTTCCTATTTTGCCGTTGCACTTGTGGGCTCAGCTGTCTTCGTTTCATGCAAGTTGTCATCTCGTCGATTCAAGAATTTCATAAATTATCATAATTTATTCGAAGTACTCTTTCTGGTGCAGTCATCGTTATTACTTGGAAACGTCGAATCCCACAGATGCTCCAAAAGTGTTTTGGAGTGTGACTTTTCAAGAAGCGTGAGAAATCAGTCGTCAACTCATGAGAGTGTGATATAGGTACAGTGGTGACATCGTGAAATTCACGAGGAAGTCATGCACACATCCAATATTAATTCTTGAAAGATGATGGTTTCCACTGCGGTATTTCCGCTTTTTACGTCTTCTGCTGTTGATGTTTCGCTTCGGTCAAATGATCGCTTCGTTTAAAGACAATCTCAGAACTTTCTCAGAGTAAGCTTTGTCGTGCTTGGGTTCAGGTTTGTGGCCTCGCCCTATTAACTAAGCCGTTGTCGTTGATCGTGGAAACCGACAGATGCAAGGTAAACGTAGTAATGAGCTGTAGCACTCAGAATGAACATCGATCGAGCAAAGTCAAAACTGTATCAAGCGGACCTGCATTAAACAGTCACCCTCTATTAAACGTTTACTTGCTTAACTCCTGACAATCGTATCCCTTAATTTCTGGAACACTGTGCTGTATTAACGGGTCGTGGTTTCCTTTCCGTGGTCCCAACGATCATTTTTTATTATCGTCACCTCTATTAAACGGTCACTTTGTCCTTGTCCCGGGTTGGGCAGGAGTAAGGCAAAAATAACATCTATTTTATGAGACTAATCCGCGCCCTTTCATGTTAATCAACAAGAAGCAGTATTAATTAAAGGAACATACGCCTTCGTCGCAGACACTGGCGTTTCGTTCATATCTCTTTGTTGAGACATAAGTTTGCTTTTTAATTATCTTTTCCGTTTTTAAAATTTAGCTAACTTAAAAGTTAACTACATTTGTATTACAGCTTTT